CTTTACCAACAGTAACATTTTGGGCACACAGGGAGGAGTAAATACCCTGTATAAAATCAACTGTAATATTTATTCATATCCTATAGGTTTAAATTAATTAAATTCATTAAAATTATACTACATTTATATCAGCATAACTACAGTCTGAAACTGGTTTTTACTTTTGACCTTGTTCTATCATTAATCTTTGCTCTTAGACTGCCTGTTGTTATTTTGCCAGTAAGGTTACCTAAAGGTCAGCCAAATATTTCTGGAAACAAGAAAAGGGAGAACAGGTGAAAAAGCCTTTTCAAAATCTGTTTGCTTGCTTTCATACCCATGTGTTCTTTTATAGAAAAAAAATATCTACCCATAGCACACATAGTGACCAAATTGCCAGAAGGCAGCAAAGCATCAAAGGAAAGAGAAAGAGGAAAAGATTTTTGATGGAGAGGTTTTGCTTCTCTCATAGCGTTCCTTCACCTTTGGCTATGGTATCTCTGCATGCTGACATTTGTCAATATATCAGATAAAGAGCTGCAAATTGCTTCAAGCATTATTTACTTAGAGCACCTTCTCCCTTTCCCTGTAAGTCACATGAGTTTGATTAACAGCGGGCTCCAAGTCACTTGCCGACATTTGAGCTGCAAATATAACTGCTGACTGCTCTTGGCCTCTATTTAATGCTCAAACTCCCCTTGTAAAACACCCATTCTTTCATTTCTCAGTCCAGTTTTTTTTTCCATTTTTATGCCTTTCTGGATCTTTCTAGGAAATAATTTTGGTCACTATTGGCCACACACATTTATTGTTACAATGTATGCTTAAAAACCTATTGCCATTAGACCATTCAAATAATTTTTCCTATCAGTTTTCCAGCTGTTTAACTCAGAACTTTTCTACCTAGTCTTAAGTTCCTGTCTGGTCCAGCTTCTTGTCTGCTCTGCCAGTGAAGTTAGAGACCGTTTCATCACATAATTTGTATTTTTGAACTACCCACAATTTGTACTTTTTAAGGCATCCAATTCCAAATTTCTAGCCATACCCAGTAAAGGGATTTTGTAGGATTTGGGAGCATTTAGATTACTGTATGAATATCCTGAGTCAAGAGAACCACATTTTTACATGAGGTTTTCCTCTACAGATTTTATTTTTCCAGAGTAAGTATATGGTATTAGCATGAAACTACAAATTATGTTTTGCTTTTCTGCTGTTAACTATCCTATGTCTTGCCAAAGTGAAAGTTTGTGTATGCCTGCTGTAACAACCTTGTACCATGGAAAACTAATGTTGATAAGAAGAACAGAGGTAGCTTATTTCAATACTTTCAAAGACAATGAATAGTTTGTTTCTCAACTTTAATTAGAAGGGTAATATATCATCCTCCTCCCTCCGGTAACTAATTTTCCTTACCAGAGCTATCAGGGCTCCTTATATCAGTAAAACCTGATGATTAGTACAACCATCTTCTTGCTAATAATAAAAAAAAGTCAATTGCCTTTCCCCTAATTTATTAAAATTGGGTGGGATGTGGAGAGCAAGATGAGAACAAACATACCATGCACTTTGTTCTCTTAATGAATTAAATTATTCTCATGTGGTAAAGTGGTTTAGAATGTCTCAGTCCCTGATACACTCTTAGGTCTTTTTGCTTTAGGGCACCTTTTATAAAACATCCAGTGTTCAGGTCACTCAAACCATGATGTGCAAACACTGTTCCTATGTACTGCTACTGAATGAATAGCACTGCTTTCATCAGGACTTCTACATAAGTATTATCTTGACAGAATCTGTTTAACTGATGAGACTAGAAAATAAAACAATATGACTAAAAGGTGTTCTACAGTATGCCTGTCCCTCAAGTTGTTTTCCAAGATAGTGCTTACTTGGACAACTTGTATCTATAGAGCTGGCAATACAGTTCTGACATTAATTCCACCAAAGTATGTTTGGAAATAGGCATATTCATTTTAAATTCCCATTTTACTAATATCTACTAAGTAACCAATACATTTTTATGTCAGTTCCACCTTCAGAATTTGTTAACTGCTAGTGCTATAAAACCTTCAATTTGTCAGGTGGTAATCTTGTGTTAAAATGTTTAAACTCATTAAATTGCACTGACATAAGCAATAGATGATAAAATATTGTGCTCAGCACTTCTCAGGGTCAAAGTCTGAGTCCCAGATTGATTACTTTTCACACAAGTTTACAGAAAATTATTTTTGCAACGGGATTTCACTGAATATACACTTGTGCTTCTGTGAATAAGCTCGCTTCCATTTTTGGAACCAGACTTACTACCTCATAGTCAACACATGAAATTTTGTTCCATTAAAACACTTTGATCTTGTCCCTTCTATCTTGACCTGCAAGTTCCTGCTGACAAGCTTCTTTATGAAGATAACTAACACTGCATTAGGTATATATTCCAATATTAAATTGAATTTGTTTTCAGATGAAAGAAATCCTACATGACTGTTACGTAGGCTAGAAGGCATGTGTTACAGGACTTGTATTCTGCTTACGTTCTGCTATTGTTCAATGTTGATCTTCACTTTATGTAATAAAATGAAAGTACCATAAAGCTACACAATGGCCAAAAGACTCAAGTGTTTACAATATACAGAATGACTAATACATAAGTTTAGGCCTGGCTTGGCTTCTCTCTTGATCAAGTTTGTGGGATTTTCAGTGTATATATGAGAAATTTTTCGGTTTAGTTAACTGATGTTCTGTTCAGCTCACAAGGTCTTATTTATAAGCTAGAAAGAAAATTGTATGTATAAAATAATCATTTGGGAATAAACATTTTTCTTTGGATATATCAACACACTGCATCGTCATAATCACAACTATCAGATTCATATAAAACAGGAGGGTCTTCTAATTAATCTTCTCCAGTTGTAAATCAGTGCTAACTAAACTGCACTTGAGAAAGGTTGATATAACCCAATGCTACTTTCAGATATTCTACTACTTTTAGTCATGGTGTCTGTCCATGCTCAAATATCCTTCCCAATAAAGTGTTTTCCAGTATCTGGCCTAAATCTCCTTTGTTTCAATGAAAGTCAGTTCATTTCCCATTACAACATCCTCTCTGCAGCAACTCTCTGCACATGGATTCTATTTTCTGCTCAATTATCTCAGTTCTTTCCTATTACTCTCATAGGAAATACTTGAGAAATATCCGTTGTTCTTGATGTTCTCTTATAGATTCCCTTCCAGTCACCCTTCGTTTAGAGAAGCACCTAAGGCAGCAAGTCTCCAGAGTGATGTATTATTGCTGCTAAAAAGAAGAAATAAAGAGTTCCAAAGGTTAAGAGGAAAGCAATGCAAAATGTTAAAAATCACGTGTGATGGCAGAAGGACAATGAAATCAGAGTTTCTTGCAGCTCCCTTGTTACATTATTGAGAGACCTACTTTAGCCACCTCTGCAAAGGCTAAAGGAGTCTTTACCCTGTAGTTCCCACTGTCAAAATGACATCCCGTGATCAGCAGACAGTTGCCAGCAATGGCTATGGCTACATGGAAAACAGTCAAAATACTGAATAGCAGGAAGGGCCAAGACTGTATCCCTCTTTCTGCCTGTTAGCTATTAAAATACTAAAGTTAACAAATTTCTTAATGATCAAAAGTTAAAAAAAAATAAAATCATTTGTTGTCATCTAAATTAAATTCAATTTGCTATCTAGCTGTATTTGATACTGACTCCCAAAGTAAAGTAAGGACTGTCAAAGGAAAGAAGTTTTTTCTAGACTAGATGCATGAGGAAAATTAATTATCCATTGACAAGAACAAGATGCTTTTTTGGGCAGACAAGGGGAACACCTTACCAGCACTGTCTGGATGTTGTAACTGAAACTGTTGACAATAGACTTTAGTAATTACAAAAATCAGAGCAGCAGTTTTAATTGCCCTTTCCCCACCCCCATTTATTAGGTCTAGGCCAACTGCTTACCAACATCCTTACAAATACTTACTCCCATTTGCTCTGGGCTCCTTATTTACGCCTCCTTTCTCCTAGCTCCTTACCTGCTTTCACCATTCTTTTTATTACAGGTTTTTTTTTCTTCCTTATCTGTCAGTTGATGCCTCGTTTCTAGATTTCCTGTACCACCGTCATACCTGTTTAGAAGTTTCCTTCTATTTTTCCAGGAAGTCAGGCATTCCTGCTAACACCATACATTTGTGGGAAAGCCTCCATGTCCAGATGTCAGCCTGCAGTACAAGCCATGAGCGCTGCTTTCACAGGTGCTTGGGGGAATTATCACAGAACCAATTAGGTTGGCAAAGACCTCTGAGATCATCGAGTCCAACCTTTGACCGAAACACCACCGTGTCAACTAGACCATAGCACTGTCTTTTCTTAAAGACCACGTCCAGTCTTTATTCTTAAACACCTCCAGAGACAGTGACTCCACCACCTCCTTGGGCAGCCTATTGCAATGTTTAAGAAGGAATTCTGCGAAGAAATTCTTCCTAATGTCCAAGCTAAACCTCCCGTGGCGCAGCATAAGGCTATTTCCACTCGTCCTCTCGCTGGTTGCCTAGGAGAACACGCCGAACCCCCTCTCTACATCCTCCTTTCAGGGAGTTATAGAGAGCGATAAGGCCTCCCCTGAGCCTCGTTTTCTCCACGCTAAACACCCCTAGCTCCCTCAGCCGCTCCTTATGAGACCTGCGCTCCAGCCTCTTCACCAGCTCCGCTGCCCTACTCTGGACTCTCTACAAGGAATCCCAGACCCCCTCCCACTGCGGTCCCGCCTCCCGGGCGCGCCTACCCCTTTAAGGGCGCGCTCCCCGCGGCCCCACGTGTGCGATCAGCTGACGGCGCGTCCCTCCCTCCGCCGCCCGCCCGGCCCCGCCGTCCCTCCTCTCCTCTCCTCTTCTCTCCTCTCCCTTCCCCTCCCTCCCTCCCTCCCTCCCTCCCTCCCCTCCCCGCCGCGCCGTGCGGGCGGCAGCGCGCCCTGACAGCGTCGCCGGGGCAGCGCCCGCGCTCTCCCGGCCCCGCTCCGCCGAGCCCCCCGCGCCTCCCCGCTCTGCGCGCCCTCCCCGCGGCGGAGGAGCTCCGGCCGGCCCAGCGCCGCTGTCAGCCGGGCGGGCAACCGCGGCCCCTCCGGAGAACTCGGCAGCGCGGCGCCCGGCGCCTCCCCGGTACATGGATTACCTGGTAGGTTCCCGACCCGCACCGGCGGACACGTTCCCGAGCGGCGGGGGCGGTGTGCGGGGGTCAGGTGAGCACCGGCGGGGCAGCCCCAGGGCGGGGGGGCAGGAGGGTCCGGCCGCGCTGCCCGGCCCGGCCCGCCGGGCTGTTAAAGGGCAATAAAGCGGCCGGGCCCCGCTCATTTGGCCGCTATTAGGTTTCTAAAGCTGTGACCCGGGTCGCTGTTTTTTTCCTAAATGCTGGAGCTTAGGGCACGCTTGAATGAACTAAATTGCTACCGCGGGCGGGTTCAGCCGGGCGCCCGGGCAGCTGGTATTCGGGTGTAGCGTTTATGGCTCTTTAATGAATATTGGCTCCATTCGTCTGCGAGAGCTTGTATCGAGGCGCGCACCTCAGGATGGGGTCGTGGCCGGTGTTTGAACTCCCCTGCAGTCGAACCCTGTGGCACGGTCGGGTAACGAGCCGACGGCTTTGTTTTAGTGTGGTACCTGCTTACCTGGTCTTTTCAGCCTAACAGTGTTGAGAGCGTGATGAGCACATCCCATCGCTCCAGTCTTGTTGACATCCCACTGTTCTAGTCTTGCTGCTTTGAGCGCTCTGTTGTGAACTGGTTCCCCTTCCTTCGCCGTGGAGTGCTGCAAAGCTGCAGATCGGGCAATAATGGGTAGGCATCTTCTGGCTATCCCTGTTCGTTACTGATATCAGGTGCGATCAGGAAGTAGGTTTCAAGAGAAGTTCATCAAACACAACAGAATCTCTGACGATGCTCTTTTTAGTGAACTGATTTGAAGATTTGCCATGTTGAGGTGAGAGAGCTGCATGCAGTGGCTGACTTTTCCTTTTATGACAATGAAATTAACTGAACCAGAAATACCTTGAATTTATACTTTCATATTCTTGTGTCCATGTAGCTTAAGTTTATTTGGGTTTATTCAGCTTTATACCCCCAAAAATGTTTTAGGCTTACCTTCCTGAATTCAAATAACAGAGAGTGAGTAGAAAATGAGTCCTTATGTGGAAGAAATAGTAGGCAGACTTCTCTTTAAGAACCTAGTTAATGAAACACTGATAATAAACTCGATGTGTGTCAAGTGCAGCCTTGTAGCTCCTTGAAAGCCTGGAGCTGTTTCTTAGATTTTTTTTTTTCCTTTGTAAACTTATATCCAGACAAAACTGGCTATTCTCTACTTTTTGAAGTGCTTGCATTAACCTCTGTGACTGCTACAGGCTGTTTTGTGGAAGGCCAACCACTCGGAGAACAATAAATTTAATAAGCCTTGGAAACTGAGAGTATGTTTTTGTATTAACCAGAGGGGGGAGGAGATTAAATAGCTCTACTTTTTTTTTCCTGACTATTTTTCTCCATTTGGTCCTTTTTCTCTTTACTTTGTGTGGCCTTTTTTTGGTGTCAGCTCTAAAAAAAACATTGATCAACTGCTTCAGGCACCTCAGAAAGTCTGCTCTAACAAAAAAAAAATTGTGGTGGTGAGTTAGGAACTAGTTGTGTGGGCCCATTTTCAGCTTGGAGGACCAAACTGTTGTCACACTCTGTTCCAGCATAAAGATGGGTCTACTCTTTATCCATGCAAGATTTGAAGTTATAATGTAGATGTTAAGCTATGTATGTAGAACACCTGCCTCATTATTTCCATAACAACAGTAACAAAAAGCTCTACATGTTAAGGAATTTTGTGGGTTTTGCATTTATGTTGGGATCTTTCACCTACATTGCCATCAAAACATAAGCAGAAGGTACTTTTGCTGGTTCCTTATGTTGGGCAGTGAGACTTTCACCTATGCTTGCAGTGTGAAGCAGAGAGCAGAGCAAAGTATGCAGTTGTTGCTGGTTGCAGAAGTCCTGTGACAGAGTATTAGACACTAAGTTTTAGTTAGCAGTGGGGCTGAATGAGTGAATTTAGTGGAGGGGGAGGTGAGGATAGCTGAGGTCAGGTTCGCTGCAGCATGGACTCAGGAGTTGTTCCATCTCCACAAGGAGTCTACCCTCAGCCAGCTCTTCCCAGACTTGCATGGGAAGGTTGTTTTTCTCATTTTATCTGAATCGAACCTACATTGGTGCAGACTTCTTTTCTCCATTGAGGAGGAGATCCCAAGAAATACTGAACATGTGTGGCACCTTCTAATATTAGCAGTTATTGAAAGCATTCAAATCCTGCTCAAAGCCAAGTAATTTGGAGTCTGGTTGGACTATGGCCCTGAAGCTCTTAGAGGGAGATACCCAGACCCTGACTAGGGCCTCCCCTGCTTACAATGTGATCCTTGGTTTATGGCTAATGCAATGTGATAATGAGCTGGTACTACTGCAATGCTCTGGTCTGTTTTTAGTTATGCATTGTAACCAAAAGTATCACTGGCCTCTGTATCTTTACTAGCTAGAGGAGGCTGTTGAGCTTGATGTCTTTTTTTATGTTTGTAGTGATATAATTACAATGTTAGAAGTGGTGTGGTTTGTTGTTTTGTTTTTGATCAACATAGCTAAACCAGGTTCCATCTCCAGAAAAGAATCCATCTTCACTCATTTAGAGGCATCTTTTACTTGTGTTATTCTCTCTTTTAAAACATACTGTGCAAACACAGCTGCATAAATGCAGTTTTGTACGGTTTTGTGACTATGTAATCTGGTGCTCTATCTGCAACCTTCTTCCGCTTCATTCTTGCTACATTGTGTCTGAAAGGATTATAGTGTATACAGAGACTTGTGTTGGTTGGCCTATGTTCAGTAGACTATGCTTAATTTAAGAAATTATGGCATGACACATCTTGTGAGAAGCATGGCATGTGACCAGTCTTACAGTTTTTACTTGGAGAACTTGTGGGAAACAATAGAAATGCTTCAGGTTTTCATACGTGCTACTTACGATGCAAATTTTAAACAAGTAGAATTTCACAATACACTTCTTCAGAGGCATCTCTGTACTAGATAAGGTTCTTACATTGAATGAATGCATGTATCAGCCTGATCTGTGTAGAACTTTTATAAGCTACTTGAGAGGGTGATGTAGAAATTTGAACGTGTGTCTTCACAAACAAAAGGTCTTTTATTTGCCTAAGAGGTTTATAAGATAAAATTGATAACCTGTTTAATGTTGTATATTAGCAATTTTATTGTGATAGCTTATCTCCCTAGACTGTATCCCAAGATACTATGTAGTATCTTAGTTGTATATAAGATTATTTCTTGGGCAGGTATTGATGAGTAAATTTCAACCGGAAATGGAAGATGACACTTCTTGCATGAACAACCACTTCAGCTTTAATTTTTTGTTTGTTTGTTTGTTTTGTTTTGGGGGTTTTGTTTGTTTTGTTTTGGGGGTT